CATCCATCAGTCCTCAGTTTTTGTCAGCATTCAAGAGTCTCTCATGGTTTGCCTCTCTCCCTTTCCCCCACCATTTCCGCCCTTCTTCTCCCCCTTGGTCCTCCGTCAAGTTCCTCCTAATCCTCCTATACGGATAACACCCAAGTCTTAAGATCCAGAAGGCCCTTCTGGAAAAATGTTTTCTCTTCTGAAATTCTTAGGCTCACATTGTAATCCTTTTGTGATTTTCAACCAGGCACCTTCTTGGGAAGCATATTAGAAGGTGTACAGTGAGGGTACATTCAGTCCCCATTCCCCATAAACAGTATCAGGCTTGTTCTCAGTATTTCAGCTGAGCATGACGGCACATGTCAGGGGACGCTCAGTGGCCTTGTTGCAAAAACAATACATTCTCAGAGGATGTCACATGCTCCATACACATTTGTGTCTCACAAAAAACACTCAGCAAAGAACAGGTGTCAAGGTATAATTCCCCATTGCCCGCCCTCCCCAAACTGAAAGATTGAGTCTACTCAAAGATTGAGTCTGTTTTATGGGGACCAGATGTTGGGACAAAAAATGATCTTCAGGGTTGTGTGAAGAGTAACCTGTGACCATGTGGCACTTTATTTCCATTCATGCCAACGAGGTATTAGCTTTCTTCATACATAGGCAGGTGTGCAGCAGCCTGGGTGTCCCACACCTGAATCTTATGGATGACCTTCTCTCCCCAGTTGACTTGCTCTTTTCTGCTTCAAGGTCTCTGCATCTGTGCTCTTTGCATGGAATGCTCACCATTCTGACTCACGTAGCTGTCCTGTTTGTCTAGATAAATCCTACTCATCATCCAAGCATCATCGGATGATTCTCTTATTGTAGTTTCTACCTTCCCACTCTAACCTGCAAAGAAGGCAAGCACAAGTGGGAACATCATCCCAATTTTAAACCTCAGAGATATAGAGTGTGGCAATAACATAGAGAATGGATAGAGCATAACTAGATAGTCAAAATGGAAGAAGAGCCTGTATTACTGACTGAATCAAACTTCGGATGTTTTTAAGTCAAAGACAACAGTTTAACCAGCACCACACTTACCTTGGTCCAGGTCCATCTGAAGCCTCTCTGATTAAGGGAAACTCTACCTACAACTGATGTGTATTTCTCTAGGAATGAAAGTGGGGTCCTACCAAGGGCCACCTCACCAAGGCTCACCTTGCCCTGCACCTGGAAGCGTGACAGGTCATGTTGTACCCACAACTGGGCTCTGCTTATTATGTGAGAGCAATTCTTCTGGGGAATTACACTGGGCATAGAAACGTAGGTTTTACTCTAATGGGGGTAGGAGAAGATAACAGAAGAGAGGGAAGTTTTTCCTCGAGGAAACCCAGTTTTTATCAGAGGGAGAATATAGACTAAAGGTCATACTCACAATAGTATTTTATTGATCATGATTACTTTACCTTATTTGAAAAGGGACTGCATTGTTACTCAAAATATTTTTATATGGTTGATAAGTTGACACAGCCTGTGGTATTGCAAGCATGTATTTCAGGCAAACCAAAATTAACAGTAAAGGAGATAAGCCTAAAATGGAAAGGTATCAGGACAATGATTAGGAAAACATTATGGATGAAATCTTTAAAACATTAATTAATTCATTCAGGAAATATCTAATATGTTTCATTTAATAAGAAGTCATTCAGCAATTATCTATTGATAAGTATCCATTAAACCCCAAGCATTGTGCTACTTACTTGATTATTGGAATACATATGCATTTCTCTTAAAGCATCCTAAATAATAGTTTCCTAATATTTTTAATTTTTTATGTAACAAGAAGTAGCCAGTGTATTGGAAAAGGTTCCAGATAAGGAGTCAGCCAACTGGGGTTCTGGTCTTTGAACTGTGTGATTGTGAGTTGGCAAATAACACAGCCTCTCCAGCTACAGAGTGGAGATACAACAAGAAAAATGTCTATGTCCTACTTCCCTAGCAGAATTACTCTGGGCATCAAGATATCTACAAAAATGAATTTTGGAAGCCATAGTACACCAGACACGTGAAGGAGATATAACTTTTGGTGACTCCTGTACTGTCTTTGGCAGGCTCGCAAGTACATCATGGACTCCATGGGAGAGAAGTATGCAGAAGGCATTATCCTGGATTTGGAAAAGACATGGGAGGAATCTGATCCGCGGACACCACTCATCTGTCTCCTGTCTATGGGCTCAGATCCCACAGATTCCATCATTGCCCTGGGGAAGAGATTAAAAATAGAAACCCGTTATGTATCCATGGGCCAGGGCCAGGAGGTCCATGCCCGCAGGCTCTTACAACAGACCATGGCGAATGTGAGGCCAAATATCTACTCTTTTGTTATGTTGTTGATATTGCAGGTTATAGAATAGCAGTGCAGAAAAGAACTTGTGAATCAGTAAGAATATAAACTTATGCACTGCATTGTTCACTAAAGTGGGAAAAGTGTTTGAAAATTTTCATGGAAAATTAGATGTAATTTAAGACTTTTTCTGCTGAACATTGACTTATGGAAAACTTTCCCAACCAGAACATCTTCTTTCCCAACCAGTTTGCATAATGCTAAGCACCATGCCAGATCACAAGCCCTCAGTGGAGTCTATAGCTGGCACTCTCCAGGGAATCCCTTTCCTGGGGACATAACTGGTGGTCCCAAACCCAAACAGTAGGCCAACCATAAAAACACCAGGTTCTAGGTCCTGGCTGCTCAGTCTAGAACCTTCTTGCTTGCTGCATCCTGGTCCATTTTCTCTGGTCTAGCCATGAGCCTACTGGGTTCTGGAACCTCCATATTTACCTTGATCTTCTTCTACCCCCAAATTGTGTCCCGCTCCAGCTTTGGCGAAGGTTTGGGATGGGTCGTGGGCTCTCACATATGCTGTGCTGTGTCTGAGCACATGATCTGCACTTGGGAGGGCAGAGTGTGTATTTAGAGCTGAAAACAAGCATCTACTTAAGAATGCCAGGTCTGGCCCGACATGAGGGTTTGGTGGGCCTCCACCCTGGCCTTTCCCTCCTCTTGGCCTCCTCTCCTCTCTTCCCTCCCTTTTTTTCACTTTCTCTGTTCCTCCCTCTGCATATTACTATGCCTAGAACAAAAACACCAACATTATTTAACTCTAACGTAAAATAAATGTTTAATAAATATAGTTTCAGACAGCTAATTAGACTATAAATGGAATAATTCAGTTTATCCATATTTTATGTTTAGCAGTTTAGTTTGAAGTAGAAGGAAAAGATCTTTATTATTATTAGTATGCTTATAAGTTGTCAGAGGTAATAGTTTTTAAAAGTTTTGTAAGGAAGGTTTGAGGCAGAGGCCCTGGCTGGCTCAGTCAATAGCATGTGTGACTCTTGATCTTGGGGTTGTTAGATGTAGAGATTATTTAAAACATAAAATCTTTTTTTTTAATTTTTAACGTTTATTTTTGAGAGACAGAGTATAGCAGGGAAGAGACAGAGAGAGAGGAAGACAGAGAATTGGAAGCAGGATCCAGGCTCTGAGCTGTCAGCACAGAGTCGTATGTGGGGCTTGAACCCACAAACCACAAGATCATGACCTGAGCTGATGTCAGACACTCAACTGACTGAGCCACCCAGGTGCCCCAAAACATAAGAATAACATAAAATACATAAAATTTTGATAAAAAAAGAAAAAAGGAAGGTTTGAGGTGATATGACAGGCAACATGGATGATCTGCTCAGTAAGAAGAACACAAAGCATTTAATATGGAATGTGGCAATTCTCAAGAAACAGCCTCCGCTAACAGATTCCATGGGTTGAAACAGCAAAGTTCTCAGATTCCCCTGCATGCTGGCTGACAGCAGCTGGCTCAACCCTTTCTGTGGTTGTTACATTTTATATTTAATTTTTTAAAAATTGTGAACAGTGCTAATTACATTTTTCAAGGGACCAACAATAGGTTCCTTATTAAGCAGCACTATATAAGCCTCAAGAAAATATAAAGGGATATGTGAAATTTCAGAGCAATCAGTTTTATACTAAGGGTTTAGATTTGGTGCTTGGTCTGTTTCTTGGAAAGAGATATAACTCGGGCTGCACTAGTCAAATCTAAATGATCTGAAGTTACAGAGTCAAGAAAACAACTCAAGATTATGATCTCAATATTATAGATCATTTTAGCAAACATATTCTATAGATTAAATATTGAATACATTATTACTAACTGATCTAAATTACTGCCTCTGTTGGTTTAGACAAGGAATATTCTTAGGCTCATAAAATGTTTTATAGAAAAGCAGGGCTTTTGTGTTCTAAGGCTCCTGTCCTTAGAGTGATCAGATTCCCCAGAGAAGTTTCTTCCACTTTTTAGAGGGCATATGCCCTGCCTTCCAGGATTCTGGGAACTCCCATGGGAGAAGGGAGGTAATAGGTCTCAAAATTGAGTAGGTAAGCGTTCTTCCACCTGTCCTTGTTGAGGTTCCTAGACCCTTCCTTCATGTGCGGATGTCCTTCAGTCTGGACTCTGTCTGTTTGCCTCCTAAAGAAAATCAGCTTTCCCTTTTTCTTAGGGAGCCGGTCTTCTCCCCTGTTTCCAGACGAACATCTGAGCACATACTCTTGAGTGTTTGGAGTTATGTGGCATAAGTCAGATCCTGTCTCAGGTTTCCTTGCATCCTTGAGGATTCAGCTTTCTTGAGTCTGCTTTAAATGTTACTGATATTGTCTTTAGCCTCACTGTCCTTGTCCTTAAGAGTGCGTGCCTTTAAAAATGTCCCTTTGTTGTTCTTCTCATGGAACGTGGGAGGAGGCTGAGCTAAATGGATGTTTTCATCCAACAATCTGTACGTGGCAGTACTGTTACATCATATGAGGCCTCACTTTGGTTATTTTCACAACTCCTACCATATAGTATCACTGCAGTTGGCATGCTGGTGTATTGTGGGACAAGAAAAAATATACATATCTCAACTAAACATCACTGTATCCATAGATTTTGTCTGGATTAATTGAGTGGTTAGTGTGCTTCTCTGTGAAATGTTAATTACTCGATTTCTAAAGAATGTATGAAATTGAATCTCTGGATGAAACACGAAGTAGCCTAATTTCTGTTTATTCTCATGGACCTAGGGGGGATGGGCACTTCTGCAGAACTGCCATCTGGGGCTCAATTTCATGGAAGAGCTGATGGACACAGTTATAGAGACCGAGGTCGTACACAGTGCCTTCCGCCTCTGGATGACCACAGAAGTTCACAAGCACTTTCCCATCACGCTCCTTCAGATGTCCATTAAATTTGCCAATGAGCCTCCACAGGGCCTGCGGGCAGGACTGAAAAGAACATATGGTGGTGAGTTGAGGAATACTTCCAAGGTTAGAGGAGTTTTTGTACTTCAGTTGTTTTCTTAAAGAAATTATAAAAACAGCTATGATAGAGTTATGGCAGATTGTACTGTTACTAAACATGACAGGGAGAGGATGGTACCCATTGTCATGCTCCTTGTGGAATATGCCCTTGTGGCGTGAGGACCTCAGAGCTTGCGATGATCCGTTTTATAGTTTTTCTGTTTCTCTACATTGCTCTGCTTTGGCCAGTGCTGTCCTCCAGCTAGACACCTGCCTTCTTATGTTAACATAATTTTGTCATTTATGGTCTTCGTGCTCCACACATAAAGTTGGCCAGTAGCCTCTTCCAAGAAGAGACGCTAAATTAAAGCTATGACCTGCCTCCACTACCTGAAGCCATCTGAACAGCCTACAGGTTTTTTTGGAGTTGCTCACAAGGCTCAAATTTCTGTCAACCTACAGGTAATGTGGGGATAAAATAGATGAAGAAGAATGAAGACAGTGAAACAAAATTCTAAATAAAAAATGTACAATTTTATACATATATCCATATAATAATTATAGTTGTTATTTGGAGAATATACTCAGTGTGTGGTGGGCTTCTATATACACTGTTTTAATTAATAGTAAATTGTTAGTAGTGTATACAGAAGTCCATTGTAACCTAAGTACATGCTCCAAATAATAATAATAATAACAACAATAACATAATTATTAGTAGTAGCAATTTTAGTAATAGTAGTAGTATTTATTTCACTGCCATCATTCTTCTACCTCTAGTTTACCCCCACAGTATCTTATCAGATTGGCAGAAACTTGGTCCATGTTAGCAAGGCCCCAGCCACCTCCCCCAAACTCTTTGCAGATATTTCAGAGAGAAATACCGCCTGGACACCCAAAGGTTAAGTTATAATTGTCATACGAATGTGATAAAAATAATTAAAGACAAGTGAAGTTTACTATCAGAAATGTACAAAAATGATTAATAATGTATAAATGTAATAAAAAATAAAGATGTGTGAGTGATGAGACTTTTTTTCACTGCACTGACCATGACAGGCGTGAGCCAAGACCTGCTGGACGTGAGCACCGTGGCCCAGTGGAAGCCCATGCTGTATGCCGTGGCTTTCCTGCACTCCACAGTCCAGGAGAGAAGGAAGTTTGGTCCCCTGGGGTGGAACATCCCCTATGAATTTAATCAAGCTGACTTTAATGCCACTGTGCAGTTCATCCAAAACCACTTAGATGACATGGATGTCAAAAAGGTACTCTGTGCACGCCACCTTGTGCCACTGGCTGTCGTGGGCGTGGGTCCTCTGGTTTCCGTGCCTGTCCAGCTTTGGGATGGATCCTGTAAGAGCGATAAGCTTGTGTGCTTGCAGACATGTCTCTAAGTCATGGCAACTGGGTCAACAGTGTGACTCACTTGCCTCTTGATTTCAGTTGAAAAAAAAAAAAGAACCAATTTTGATTATTTTTATTTCTCAAAGCCAAGTTGCAATTATTTTTATTTCTCAAAGCCCAGTTGAAATTACATGTAAGGCAACTTGAAAAGGTCTACTGGGAGTGGGGAACAGGTGAGAAAACTTCTTTTCTAAGATCCTAAAAAATGGAAATTCAAGTCTAGATTACTTTTGAAGCATGTGCCTTTTAGAGAGCTGCCTCAATATTCTCAAAAAGAATCTTATTTTTTTCCGTTGAAATTAAAGTATGAAAGCATATGCACCAAAGGGGTCTATTTTAAATCACAGGCATGAGATCTGAGCCATCCCCGGGCTTGTCTATATAATTTTCTTCCTGCCCTTGTAACATTACTGATGAAGAATGAACAAATGGCATCGGTCACTACAAAAACAGAGATGTTACTCAGTGGGGGAAACCCGGATGAGACCGTGGTCAGTTGTACACAGATGTTCTGTGAATTTCCGCAGGGCGTCTCCTGGGCCACCGTCTGCTACATGATAGGAGAGATCCAGTATGGGGGCAGAGTCACCGATGATTATGATAAGAGGTTGCTGAACACGTTTGCTAAGGTCTGGTTCAGCGAAAACATGTTTGGATCAGATTTCAGCTTTTACCAAGGATATAATATTCCCAGATGCAACACTGTGGACAGCTATCTTCAGTATATCCAGGTTTGTCAACTTCAGGATTTGATGCAGAGAGCAAATGTCCTCAGCCTTTTGACCATTTTGATATTGATTTACACTGCAAATACTGCTTTTGAAATAAATTTTAATGGCAATACAGACTTTTACTGTAGGTACTTTCTTCCTGTGTTTATTTTCACCTCATGGTTAAAATGTGTATATTTGTTCTGAGTGTGTATTTTGTGGGAATGCACTTCTACCTTCTCAATTATTCCTCAGTGAGGAATATTTTGGGGGGATATGATGGACTGGGCAGACTTTGAACTGGGGAAACCACACAAATTCCTTGGAGCTCTCCACCTTGAGACTTCAGGCACCTGTGATGACAAGACAAAGGCCACCTCTGGACTCATCCTGAAACATCTGTCCCTTAGTCCTGGCCCAATGGAGGGCACATGAGTATATTCAGGAGCCCGCTTTGCATAAGCACATCCTGTCTCAACCTGGGCACCTGTGACATTCCCGGTGGGATTCTTTGCGGTGGAGACCTGTCCCGTGTGGAGTGGTGAGCAGCATTTCTGGCCTCCCCCCACTAGATGTCAGTAGCACCCCCACACAGCTGCAACAGTCAAAAATGTCTCCAGACATTGTGCCCTGGGGGTAGAATCACTCCAGGCTGAGGAGTACTGCCATAAGAAGGAATAAGGTGGATTGTGACTGGAAATTTAGGGGAAAGGATCTGATTTATGTATAGAGGTAACTACATTTTGGGTGTCTCTCTGCCTTGAACTCTTGGGTTCAATATCTAGAAATCTCTTTTGCATCTATCCATGATTTATCTCCAAGTGGACAAACTAAACCATGATAACCCCAAAAGGCTAAATTTATCAGTACACAGAGGTTCTGTGATATACGTATGTATGAGTTTCTCATATATTGTCACCTCTACACTTTTACTAATTCACATCAGCAAATATATTTGTCTTAACTGTACTATATATGTCTTTAAATCATCAGTACTGAATAGGAAAGTGCCTATGAATGTATACATTTAGATATGTCTTTACATATACCTCATTTCCCAGTGAACTTGAGGCTATTCATAAGAAGACATTATGTAAAAGGGAATAAAATAAGGGAGGAGATTGTAGGAATAATATGAATAAGATAGTAATAAAGTTTAGGATATAATTCACACGTAGAAATAAATATCAAATTGTTGGTACATTTTCTTTCTTTCAAATAGCTGAGTTCCTTGCCTGCTTTTTCTGCCTCTGTCTCTTGCTGTCTCTTTATTTTTTAATGTTTATTCGTTTTTGAGAGAAAGGGGGGGAGTGGGAGAGGGGCAGAGACAGAGGGAGACACAGAATCCAAAGCAGGCTCCAGGCTCTGAGCTGTCAGCACAGAGCCCAAACTGGGGCCTGAACCCATGAACCATGAGATCATGACCTGAGCTAACATCAGACGCTTAGCCAACTGAACCATTCAGAAGGCCCCTCGCCAACATTTTTTTAAAAATGTTTACTTATGTCTCTGCTTTTCTCTTGGACTTGGTTGTTCTTGATATTCCTCTCTGTTCCTAGTCCCCGTCTTTTTCCCTGGGAGAGTACAGTTCCCACTTGCAGCCTCTTTGGGTCATAATTGCTAAAACTGTCATTTTCTGGCATCTTAAAAAACATAGTAACCGTTTGTTTAGTCAAACCACATTTATTGAAATGATTGGTTTGAATTAAGTCAGACCTTCAGAAAACAACATACTAATCTGTAGCTCCCTTTCTGTATTTCACATGTTCTGAAATAAGACAGTATCTCTTCAATTAAATTTGACCGAGGTACAGACATTAAAGACAACTTTTATTATGTCTCTGAAGACAACTTTTGATTCTTTTTAAAAAAATTTTTAATGTTTTATTTATTTCTGAGAGAGAGACAGCGTGAGCAGGGGAGGGTCAGAAAGAGAAGGAGACACAGAATCCGAAACAGGCTCGAGGCTCTGAGCCAGCTGTCAGCGCAGAGCCTGACGCGGGGCTTGAACCCATGAACTGCGGGATCACGACCTGAGCTGAAGTCAGATGCGCAACCAACTGAGCCACCCAGGCACCCCAACAACTTTTGATTCTTTTCTGGAGAAATTATTGAGATTGTAGCCTGACACAAATACGAGACCATGCAAACACTTATCTTTTGGAGGGATTATTTTATGTTCTTTCTTTATTTTAAAAATTGAATAGAGTTAACACACAGTGTTAGATTACTTATCTTAATAAAAAACATTTGTTTCTGAAGACGGTATAGATTCACTGGTGCTTATGTCAGCCATCTGGGGTTTTTGTTGTCAGAGCCTGCCTACCTGTGACAGCCCAGAAGTGTTTGGACTGCACCCCAATGCCGACATCACCTACCAGAGCAAGCAGGCCAAGGACGTGCTGGACACCATCCTCAGCATCCAACCCAAAGACAGCTCTGGTGGAGGGGATGAGACCCGGGAGGCTGTGGTGGCCCGGCTCGCTGACGATATGCTGGACAAGTTACCCCCAGACTATGGCCCATTTGAAGTGAGTTGATGACATCCTGACAAGCTGTCAGCTGTGGATGCCTCTGTCAGGTTGGGGGAGTGAGGCATAAGGAAGGAGGGCCAAAAATGATTTTTCTGAAATTAAAGAAAAAATATTCAAAAATATACTTCCTAAAGAACCAGCAAAAGAAGTTTTTAAACCTATAAATGTAATCATTTCAAAATATAAATGATAAAAGAAACCTGACAAGACTGTTCATGTTCATAACTAGGTTATAAGTGTATATTGGTGGGTTGGAACTGCTTTTCTGGAACTTTCTCTTGAGGTACTTCACTTTGTCATTTGTTCAAATGAAAGTAATGTATTTTTAGAGTAAACCATCTGATTATTTATTTATTTATTTATTTGAGAGAGAGAGAAAGAGAGAGAGAGAGCAGGAGTGGGGGAGAGGGGCGGAGGGAGAGGGGAAGAGAGAGAGAATCTCAAGCAGGCTCCATGCTCACCACATAGGGCTCAGTCCCAAAACCCTGGGATCTTGACCTGAGCTGAAATCAAGTGTCAAATAGCTCAACCAACTGAGCCACTCAGGCACCCCAAGCACCTGATCATTAAAAAGAAAATGTTGTGTAATGTAATGCACACCTTAAAATTCTGGCCATCTTAATTTCAGGCAGCCTATATTTAGATCATTAACACTTTGCAGCTACATGAGTTTTGAAAATTAATTTGTCTTTTGAATATGTAAGTAACTTCTAAGCAAAATTTATGATTAGGAAAGTAATTTTTTAGGCAGTTTAGCAAATGTTAGTGAAAAGATTTACCCCAAAGACATTTTTAAATCTTGGATAAAAGCACAGGTAACTCACTTACTTTCCCTATAGTCGTAATAGATGACCCAGATTAAACATGTGACACTTTTGTCACAGGAATCATGTTCCTTTATATATCGACCTTTTCTACCTGGCTTTGCAACAGAAGCCTGCAGCATTTTGTTTCTTTAGCATCCTGTCATTTTCCACAAAGCAGGCCATTTTGGTTGCTCGTACTGTAGACTGAACTCAAGGACTTATTGCCAAGGGAATAATTTCCCCTGGAGAAAACTGATCACTTGCTTGGGGAAAATCAATACTCTTATCAGCTTTCATAAGCACCTCTCATTATAGTATCAAGAAAGAGGTCATTCATATCTACTAGTGGTTGAAATATTTATGAAGCAATAAATATATCTAAAAATATCTTAACAGTTACATAAATAACTGCGGTAAGTAGTGGGGCTTAGGAGCGTCCACTCCCTTTGGCTGACTTTGTCAATGCTGCCTTAGGATAAAGCAGCACGACCCAGCAGGGTGGCTGACCGATCCATGGAATACTCTCAATAAATACTTGTAAGATGGAAATGGACGGCTGGGTGGGTGGGTTGGAGGATGAATGGATGGTGCTTTGATGGAAAACACTGAACGCTTTTAAAACAGAAGCTTAGTCTTTTGAAGCAGCCAGCAGGATGGCTGTGCAGAATAGTTGTACATGTCTGCCCGTGTGTGTGTGTGTGTGTGTGTGTGTGTGTGTGTGTATGTGTTTGGAAGTCTTAGATGGGCAGGTAAGTGAATGTTCCCTGGTAAGTGCAGCTGCTATTTGGAAGGCTGCATGGTTGTGGTCCTGTGTTTCTATTCTGTGAATGAATGGTCGCCCGTTCTCTCCCACATGGGATGAAAAATTGGCCAGACATCTAACAGATGTTTCCTCTTATATTTCCTCTTTGTTTTCTGGCAGAGAGAAAAATAAAAGCTTACCATTGATGGAATTGTAAGATTTGGGGTCTTTTCAGCAGCCCCAGGGTACCAGTTACGTACACATTAGTAGATGTCACATGTTTCACACACGCTCAATGTCTCCGTGGCAGGTGAAAGAGAGGCTGCTAAAGATGGGGCCGTTCCAGCCCATGAACATTTTCCTCAGGCAGGAGATAGACAGAATGCAGAGGCTACTGACTCTGGTCCGCAGCACCCTGATGGAGTTAAAACTTGCTATCGATGGCACCATCATCATGAGCGAAAATCTACGAGATGCACTGAATTGCATGTTTGATGCCAGGATTCCTGCTCAGTGGAAGAAAGTATGTTTAAGTCCACTCTTCTTCTACCTAATCACTTGATTGTTGTAAATAGTTGTAATTGGCCGGTGGCAAGCTTTCAAGCATAATTTACTTAAAAGGGTTCTTTTGTTTAGGGACTAATCCCCTTATAGGCCTATATTTTTGGTAGGTAGGGAAGGAGACTATTTATCATCACCCACATATCAGGCACTCTACTAGGCCATTTGCATGCATTATTTCATTTAAATTGTGCATTTTATTGCCCTTGTTTTGCAGGTGAAGAACTTGAAATTGGGAGATGCTAAGTCTTTCCCCAGATCACACACCTAAGAAGTCTAGGGATCAGAATTTAAACCCAAGCTCCCTTGGACTTCAAAGCCCATGATGTTAGATTTACAGAAAGAAGTGTTCCTACACACACACACACACACACACACACACACACACACCCCAACGAGAAACATTTTTCCTTGCTTTGTCTGGAGATATGAGAGCGAGCCTATTTCCAAGCAACAAGATAATGATTTGACAGTATGCTTACTGATCACGTGCTGGTGCTTGTGATAAATAACAAGGTGTGCTTTTGCTAAATACTTGTCTACTTGAAAAAGTGAAAGGAGTACCTGAGTGTCTTTGTCGAGCAGTTCATGCATTGTAGGGGGTTGCGAAGACCTGGGGGTGTGCCAGGAGGACTTGGGGAGGCATGAGGCAGGGGCCAGGTGTCGGGGAATGTACAGCAGCATCTAGAGATGGGATTGGGTCATTCAGTGACTGGACTCTTGGCCTTTTGGAGGCTTCTCAGGTAAATGGGAAGGTGAGGTGTGACAGGGTTAGGACTGAAAGCTTCTCTCAGAAGAGACTCACTGGGCACTGAGACTCTGATATCTCTCCCAGGGCTTTAGAAACGTAGGATCAGCTTTGACCAGACTCCATCCTATCTTCACCTCTAATGACTTTATTCCCAAGGCCAGAGAGTTTTCTGTCTGGAATGACTCTCCTCATTGGCCTTCCTGGTTCTCTTCCTGGGAGAACTTTCATGGTCACTGACCATTGGCAGGTGCAGTCCCCACCAAACCAGCTCTCTCTGCTTGGTCAGCACCAAGAAGGCCCTGGCACAGGGATCCTTGCCGTAAGGCACCTTCGCATAGACGGTTCCCTGTGCCCTCACATCAAATGTTGTATAAACATGTCTCTTTTAGTTAACACAACTATAAAGACAGGATAGACTGCATTAGCCTAATTTTAAAATTATGGTCTTTTTATTCAGGTTTTTATTCTATTCAAGTTATTATCATTCTTTGGAACCTTATTATCTCTTGAAAAATAGGCAAATTAGGTCTTAAGAATTTGAAATTCAAGCGGTGTATATCTACCCAGGCTCATCACTACATTTATTCATACATAAAGCATTCCAATTAAGGTAAAATCATATAAAACACGATTTGGAGATACCTACTAATGCAGCTGCTAATAACACTCAGGACGTATCCATGCCCACGTGTGAGTTCAGGCAGCATGTTACAGGCAATGAATGCAATTGATTTGTTGGTGGTAAGGGACCTGTGTTTCCGTTTCTTCTCCTTCATCAGAGAAAATAAAAGTTTATTCTAAGGACAAGAACTTCAGAGAATAACAGTGTGTGCCTCATTAAAAATGAGAAGCAGAGAAAGATATGATTTATCATCCACAGAATATATTTTAAAGAGACCATGAGCACATTTATGTAAATAGAAATCATGTTTTACGGTGTATCTATTAAAAATGTAACCTGAGGAAAAAATAGCTGAAACCTATTTAATGTGATTCAATTAATTGTTTGAATTACTTTATAGCAGAATTGACAGCGAATATTTGTACGTGGAAGGTGATTCTGTTGACACCAGACATCTTGCACAGCATACTGAGCGCTGAATTGATTTGGTATTCATGCGATGATTAGATGATTCTATCGTATCTTAATACCAGTAGGGAGGAAGAGTAATTTGAAAACTTAAATGTCAAAACCCAAGGGGCATTCCTGTCATTTTAGGGACTTCTGAATTCTAAAAGTGAAGTTGATATTTCATAATTTTTTTCTGTGAACATTGCTAGTTACACAGCAGAATTTCATTGTTTCAATGTATGCATTTCAGGCGTCATGGGTTTCAAGTACATTGGGTTTCTGGTTTACTGAGCTTATAGAAAGAAACTGCCAGTTTACTTCGTGGGTGTTCAATGGCCGACCCCACTGCTTCTGGATGACAGGCTTTTTTAACCCCCAAGGATTTTTAACTGCAATGCGCCAGGTAAGAGCTCTGATTTGCACCTGTTGTTTTCTTATGATGTTCTTCTACAAGGTTTTCTTCTGCCAGTATAGTTTTAAAGACTATAATGAGACAGAGAATGGCTGTCTCTCTTTGGCCCCAGCAATGACATTGTCCTGAAAGTAAACACAGCAACTTTTTCTCAGGCTGCTAGTTTGAATTTCAAAGTATTTATTTGGCATTTTTATATTTGATATGATTTGATACTTCTTTTTAAAGTGTAAGTGCTTAAATTAAGACATGGGTATTGTTTATGAGAGAATCTTTTTAACTTTTTAAGTGCAATTTTTCTTCCTTTGAATTAGGGTAATTTGGGCTTCCACTTTCATTGCTGTTATGCTCTTTATGTTAAGAGCACCCTTAACCTTCACCCTTTGCTCTTGTTCTTGTCCTGAGCAGGAAATCACTCGGGCCAACAAAGGCTGGGCCTTAGACAATATGGTGCTTTGCAACGAGGTCACCAAGTGGATGAAGGATGACATTTCTGCCCCTCCCACAGAGGGTGTCTACGTCTATGGCTTATACCTTGAAGGTGCAGGCTGGGACAAGAGGAACATGAAACTCATTGAATCCAAACCAAAAGTGCTCTTTGAATTGATGCCCGTCATAAGGATTTATGCAGAAAACAACAGTAAGTTGTCTTGGGCGTTCAGGGAAGGTGGGCATTATCGGATTGGATAATGTGATAAACACAAGATCTCATTATTCTTGCTATCACGTGAGGATTTTACTATTTTATCAACTTCACATTTGCACCCATGTTTACTGACTGCTAGGCACTCTTTTGAGTGTTATTGGGAGGCAAAGTTTCTAGATAGTTCTTCCCTATCTACTAAAGCAGGTAAAATATATACAGATACTCATGAAACATTAGCTGTTGAGATAAGGAGCAAGTGTTTGCAGGAGTTACCAGATGGTAGGAAAGGAAGGTGGGTGGGATGGGTAGAGTGGGAAGAAGAGGTCAGAGGCGGGGTCTCAGGAACAGGGGCTGGACAGGACACAGAAGGGCGGAGAGGATGCGGTGGGGCAAGTGGTAGAAGGAAGGCTTTCTCGGCAGGACCACTCAGGGCTCACTGGAGGTGCTGGCTCCACCAGCTTGGAGAGTTAAGCCAGGCTCGAAAAGCCAGATTGAATTCAGGGACATTTGGCTTCACCCAGTAGCTAGTGGTAAAATGCTGGATTCATATATGAGCCTGTGAACATAGCACGTCTATGAAGCACACATGATTTTTCACTTTGAAAAGTTCTGCCTGACAGATCTAAAAATATCTAAACTGGTTTCCACCATTGGCCTGATGTGTTCTGGAGGCTTCTGATACATTTCACTCAGCTAATATCTCCTCAGCAATAGCTACCTTTCTACCTTTCAATTTTTTAAAATAAAAATTGCATATATTTAAGGTGTAGAACATGATGTCCTGATACAGATATACCTGTATGTGGTGAAATGATCACTATAAGCCATACACTTTGGAGGTGGCCACGATAGTGGATCCCAAGGAAATACTAAAACACAGGAGATTCTTCTTTAAACAAGTAAGGAGTAGACAATTTCTCTTGGAAACAGCTTCTAGTATCCCCATCCCTTAGATAAATATCAAATTTGGAAACGTGGGTCAAGGAAAGAGAGTTCATAACTATGAATATTTCTCTTTTAAGCAAATATTTGCTGAGTGTCTAATATATGCCAGCCACAATCTTAGGTGCAAAGGACACAAAGATAATGATGAACCGGATCGTGCCCATAAGGGCTTCCCTCTAGTGAGGGAGACTTACAAGTAAATCAGTAATTAAAATAGAACTTGACACATGTTGGACATACACTCAGGATGCTCGGGAAGTCTGTGAGATTAGTAGAGATTGCTTCTGAGAAGTGCTTTGAGGTTAAGAACCGGGTGTAAGAGGAGTTGGCGATAGACTTTTCTTGGCAGAGGCGACTAACCTTAGCTCACTCAATCATTCAGTGAGTATTTAGCTGGTAGTGGCCACCTGCCATTCTCTATTCAGTTGTTGGGGATGCGACAGTGAAAGAAGACCAGGCAGAATCCCTGTTCTTAAGGAGCCCAGTGTCAAGGAGGGAAGGGCAGCCCAAAAAGAGGCAAATACAGTTGATCCAAGGATTTTGTACTTAGGAATTCACCTCTCCTCAGAAATTCATCTGTAATGCTTGTGGCTTGGTTATTTGCAGGGGTTCACAAAACAGCAAAAAATGTGAGTCTCCCGACCGGCATGTTCCCACCTGAGGTTGAATAGGTGACACCCTGCCTTCTCACTCCACTCATGCTGTAAACGGGTGTCCTAAAATAAGGTTATGTATTGATGGGTTGATGCAAATGTCACAGGAAACTGCCCTGTCTATATTTCCCCTTGGAGCAGTGGCTCAGCAGTTGCTAATTCAGTGTTCACAGAGATTCTACAGACATAAGTCCCATGATAATGACTGTTGACTATACATGAACATACTGGCTTTAGACAGCTCTTTTTTATGAAGAAAACACACACATGCTATGCCAGGGAGCAGATGGTTTAAGGGCTTGAGGAGAGGCTCGCTGAGGAGGGAACACTGAGCTGAGATTCGGGTGACAGAGGGCACCTCTGCTAATATCCAGGGGCAAAGGTAAGGGTGCAAATGCATGAGGTAGCAATGGATAGGCTGTGTGGGAGGAACAGAAAGATGGTGCATGAAGGCAGAGGAGCCTGTGAAGAAAGCTGGGCGTCAGGAAAGAAACAGGAAGGTACTCTGCACGGTCTTTGACTCATGGCATTGCTCCACATACCCCGAGTGAATCCGACAGAATAAACGTGTCTGTTTGAGCCCGGGCAAGCACGCTGCCTGCGGCTTCGTGTTTATTGGGTGGTGTGAAGACCTGAGGCCGTGGTTATTTTAGAGAAATAATAATTAAGTGTTCTTTTAACCAAAATTAATATTTTAGAAATCTTGCTTTATCATATCACTGGATCCAGTCCACCTGTTGCAAAAACATTTCCCTTATAAAGTAAAAGAAAAATCTTCCTCACATTCAGTTAGGTGTTACTTTTGTATATCTGGTGACTAAGCGGTAAAAATCCATTGGAACATGACTTTGAACATCTCAGCATGATATTAATAAAATAATAATTTTATAATACAGGCACTTCTTTATTATTTAAGAACACATTTTTATAGAAGAATTGTACTCACCCTGCTGGGAATTAGTCAGCGGTGAGGCTCATTAGCAGCAGGTTAGGAGAGGAAATAAAAAGCAAAGGAAAAAGTGACAAATTTCAAAGCACTGAAAAAAAAAAACAAAGAAAAACTTTTCTTCTTTTTTCTTTTTCTTTTTCTTTCTTTGGTTTCAATAAGAGTTGATGCAGACTTGTTTTGCCTAATAGCTTTGTTGCTGGAGAAGTGTTTTTTAGCAATGAAAAACTAAAATTCCACTGCTCTTTTCATACTATAAATCTAATTTTCATTTAATTTTGATAACTGAATAAGGCTCCAATTGAGATAAGGAGGTGTAGCATCATGAAAGACCAAAGGACACTCCAAAAATACAGTGCTTTAAAGTTAAAATTCTTGGGGCATCTGGGTGGCTCAGTCGGTTAAACATCTGACTTTGGCTGAGGTCACGATCTCACGATTCATGGGTTCGAGCCCCGTGTTGGGCTCTGTGCTGACAGCTCAGAGCCTGGAGCCTGTTTCAGATTCTGTGTCTCCCTCTCTCTCTGACCCTTCCCTGCTCATGCTATCTCTCTCTCTCTCAAAAATAAATAAAACATTAAAAAAATAAAGTTAAAATTCATATAATAAATTGTTTCCCTGTTAACATGAAGGGCAATTTTTCGTTTAAATAATTCATCATTGAATTTTCCATACAAGACTGGTTTGTCTTAAAAAGAAGTCTAGGTATTTATTTTGACTTTAGAAGTTGAGTAACGTGTCCCCAAATGCTTATTTTATTCATATTTCTTATTAGGACATCATGAGAGAGTCACCCAAACAGTATGAAATTCACCAGAAGGGCAAAGCTTCCCATATCAGCTTAAGCTCCTCTGCCCTCAAAGGAAGTTGAAAAGAGGCAGCTATGGGAAAGAAATGTCTCCTTACAGATGACTATATAGATAGGGTGATGCTTCTACATGAACTTCAGTGCTGTAGCCCAGGTGATGGGAAAATGGTGATTAAAACATTGGGGGGAACAAAGCAAGACTCATATGAACCTTTGGCCAGTAGGGTGAGAAGGATCTCAGGGTCCCCACAGATAATAAGGAAAAAAGTGAAAAGTGTTTCTAAGAATATCTTTTGACCCCTCCTGATCCAACACTGTGCAGATATGGGGCTGGGGGTGGGAATAGCCCCATGGGGTGACCAGAAGGCGGAGACCTTCTGACTTTTGAGCCCCTTGGCATTTAATCCAATTTCAATGTGTAAACTTGGGACTCAGTAAACATCATGAGGAACATGAGTCTGGGAAATTTGTTTCAGTGAAAAGATGCGTGTGTGTATATGTGTGCATGCATGTGTGTGTACATGTGTGTGTGTGGAAAGAGAAAGAGGAGAAATCTAACACATCTTGGGTGTCTACTGCATTCTAGGCATTATACTTTGCCCGTCATTTGCATATATTAACTTACTTAATCTTTACAACTACTCTGTAAGGTATATCGTGCCTAATTTGCAGATGGGGAAATGTAGGTGAAGAGATGTATGTAATTTGCCTGCGATTCCCAGCTGCCAAACCTGGTATCAGAATCATGTTTGTCTGTTGTGGGATGAATGCAAACCTCTAACAATTCCTGTGACTATGCATTTAGGGAGTCTCTGTGTTGTTGGGGATGAAGCTTCAAAATGAAGGCTAAATTAAAGGGCACCTGGGTGGCTCAGTCAGTTAAGTGTCCCGTTCTGACTCTTGATTTTGGCTCAGATCATAATCTCATGGCTTGTGAGATTGAGTCCCATGTCCATGCTGTCAGCATGGAGCCTGCTTGGGATTCTCTCTCCCTGTCTCTGCCCTTCCCTGCTCGTTCTCTCTCTCTTTCTCTCTCTCTCTCTCTCTCTCTCTCTCTCTCTCAAAATAAACATTAAATGAGGACAGCTTCTTTGCATATTGAAGCCATGAGTTTATTTTTCTCAAGTACGTGATGAAGTAAACAGAGAAAAAACCAGTGCCTGTTTGGGTGAGAGTTCTCACTCCCTACGGCCTCCCTCCCTGCATGCTGCACACTAAAGGTGGTCACCTCCCCAGCCGGATGGAGTGGCACATGTTCTCCTATAAAGGACAGCCTAGATATATGGATTGCACTTCTGGTTTTATCACCCTATTTATTAATCGCGTGGCTTTGGAGGAATCTCTAATAAGCCGTATTTTGAAGTCACTCATCTGGTGATCTCCAGCTCATTTTCACATCTTCCTGCAAAGACATAGAAGTAGGCACACACACGTTAAATCCCAACTGTTGCTGAGATTCAGAGCATAGACTCTGGAGCCATTCTGGCCAGGTTTGATTCTTAGCCTATCACCTACAGCCTTGTAACCTTGGACGGACAGCTCACCTCATTCTGTTCCAGTTTTCTCGTCTGCAAAATGGATTTAATAACAGTACCCATGCCATAAGTTTGTTAAGAGCATTAAATGAACAATGTCTAGCACCTAGTTATTGTACAATAAATAATTTTGTTATGATTACTATTATTAATACATTAGCTCACATGTTTGTTGAGGGATGAAAAGAAATACATTAAGAGTGCACTATTTAATCACTTAAATGTTATGCGAGAAGAGGAGTTGAATAAAGGAATGACTTAAAGGTGATCTAGAGAATCGCTGTGTGACTTGGTTGTTTGGATATTGGAAGAAACGTATGATATAATGACACACTAGCATTTGGATGAAAAATGTAGGCTAGAGAGGGAAGTGACATAGTTGGAAAATAAAACTCCCTCAAGGTGTCTTATTAAAAGCTTTTGGATCCTAAAGCATAGAGCTCACCAATTTAGACAGCCTCTTTTCTCCACTCCTCCTTCGGGAACCCTGAGGCTTTAAACATGTTTAGCTGATTTGTTCTGCCTCCCTAGAATGTGTATTTTTGTCTTCAAAGTTATTTGTCTAACCAGGGCTAATGGTTTTGAATCACCTGTTTACATGGTTATTCAGTGTCTGTCAGGACTTTGACTATGAAATTTTATTTTCAGTGGTTTCTAATCCTGCTGCAGAAGTTTGCTTCATGCTGTGACTTGGCATGGGCACCATCAGTTCTGAAGCAATCAAAAATAAATAAAATTGGGTAAATACATCAGAGAATTGTTTTTCACCTGCTTTTTGAAAAGAATGCTATTTCCCTCCCAATTCTTCTTTTCTTTTGGGATTAAAATCCAAGCAGTCAAATACTCCCCAAGGTATAAGTATTATAATTATCATTTGGTTCAAATGTGAGACTCCAATGGGTGACTTTAAGATTTATGATGTTAGTCAAATTTGTATCAAGAAGAACGATATTTAACATTTATTACATATTTACGGATCCCAGGATTAAAGGAATTAAGTCTATCCATCAGTATTATTAGTATTAACTACACTTTGTGAGTTCACTGCCATTCACTTATTTCATCAGAAGTTTTCACATATTTGCCTAATAATTATTACTAATGATATTCCCATGATACTTTAAGAAATAACACATAGACCTAAAAGCTAGATGTTACAGAATTAGGTGTTACATTAATTTACATTGTTTCTAATGATTAACGTCATTAGATTAAGCTAACACATAGTTTTAAATTACTATAAAATATCTATGAGTTTGTTTGAGAACAGAGATCCTTGACCTTGGCATTATTGACATTTTTTGTCCAGATATCCTTTGTTGGGAGGGGTGGTCCTGTGCATTATAGGGTGCTGCCAGCATCTCTGGTCTCTACCCACTAGAGGCCACTATCAACTGTAATAACCAGGAATGTCTCTGGATGTTCACAAACGGCCCCCAAGAGTAAAACAATCTTTGGTTAAGAAATGCTGCTTTAGAATGTTTACTTTATATTGAAACTTATGTATAATACTATCATATTCAAGTGTTTAACTTCTTCCAATAAAATTAATTATAATGGAGGTATAAAAACACATGGCATAGGGGTGCCCAGGTGGCTCAGTCAGTTAAGTTCCCAACTTTGGCTCAGGTCATGACCTTGGGGTTTGTGAGTTCGAACCCCACATCGGGCTCTGTGCTGACAGCGCCAAGCCTGGAGCCTGCTTCAGATCCTGTGTCTCCCCCTCTCTCTGTCCCTCCCCCACTCATGCTCTGTCTCTCTTTCTCTCTCAAAAATGAATAAACATTAAAAAAACTTAAAAAAAAAGAACACATGGCATAGCAGGTTGACTATTTTATTGGATCAAAAAATGAGATCTTAATTTCAGGTAGTGGCTGGCTTTTGTAATTTCTTAGAAAAAAATTAATGAGCAAGTTAGTTTTGGGCATTAAATTCAGTAACTTCAATATATTGACATTGCATGTAGAGAGTTACTTTTGCCATGTTTCAGTGCCCATGTGTGTCACACAAATTCACCAAAGCAAAGTTATCCTCTTCGTTAAATGTGTTTTCGTCTCAATGCTTCCATGGAGGTCATTTATAATACTGGCCTTCCAGAGGAGTACAACGATGGGTGCAGACACAGTGTTTGTGCTGAAACAATTTGTAATCTGGAAGAGAAGAGGAAATGATGTACTGCTTCCCGAGATGGATGTTTTGAGATGTGCAGATAAACTACGTGAGCAGTGTAATTTAACAAGGAGCTGATGCAACTTGAATTTCAAGGCTACTCAGTGCAGAGGCTTCTTCCAAAGCCTAATTTAGTATTTGGAAGTTACTCTTTCTTAAAGCCCTGAGCACCCCCCCTCCCCCCCCACTCCATTGTATATAAGTATAAGGACTCACAAGACCGGATCTGTCCCTGATCATGGGATTTCCAAGACTGGAGAGAGAGAGTGAGCCTTTGCTTAGGGATGAATGCATTAGAAAGGATCTTTGGAAGGTTGACTTTCATTGCATATGCAGTTTTGGAAACTCCATGTACTCATCTACTCCAAAAGGACAGATTGCATCTCCGGAAGTGGAACTGTGTCATGGCTCTCTGCCTCTCAGCCACTTCTGTTCTCTGCACTCATGGATAGCCCACAGCCCGTGATAAGAGTGGGCAACATCCCCTGTCCTGTGATTTCAAGTGTAGTTTAGACTATGACACAGGGAGTTGAGGGCAGGGTTTTGAAATAATAATCATAATGTGAAACAGTAGTGAACACTGGTGCTGGACATCTGATTAGAAGTGACAGGTGCCTTGTGCCAAAGGGAAGCCATGAAGGAAAAACGGAGAGAGTGTGCACGCACAAGACATTGTGGGGAGGTGAAGGAGAAAGGGTGTATGGACAGGTGGGAAGGAAGCAGCCAGAGGTTCATGGCCATAGCATGTGGACAGGGTTACTGTCAAGGACATGGGACAAGGCACCAACAGCATAAATCCAAAGACATCTGGGTGTTTTGTCACACCCACTGGAAACCTGCAATGCTTCATCTGTAAGGATCGACCAACCTCAGAAAGAATTTCTCTCATTCTACCAAACCTTTGGAATGATCTGTAGAATGCACAAATTTGGCTCTGTGCTGTTTGGTCTGCTTAAAATAAAAATTCACCAAGTTTTTTTTTTTTTTTATGATTTTTTTGTAGCCTTAAGAGATCCTCGGTTTTATTCCTGTCCTATTTACAAGAAGCCAGTCCGAACGGACTTGAACTACATCGCTGCCGTGGACCTCAGGACGGCCCAGGTCCCTGAACACTGGGTGCTCCGGGGGGTTGCCCTACTCTGTGATGTCAAGTAACATAGGGTGTGTCCCCCACCAATACTTCAGACAATGCAGGATCTGAATTATCCTAACTTTTACTTTTCTGTGAATGCTGGACAATTTGTAAATCAGGTTGACCATGTAGTTCATGAGCTGGTTAGCTTTTCTCTACTCCTTTGTTGGATGCTTAAGTACATGTAACCTGCTTCATCCTTAATAACCAATCACTGTGTTTGCTGAAGAGCTATTTGGTGATTGAAAAGAAAAATTTACAACTTCCTAATGATGTGCGGCCCTCAAATCCACAGTAATACATTCAGCTCTAAGGACTCAGTAAGTTAAGCTGACATTTCCTTGAAATGAAGGGATTATCCTTCTGCTAATGTGGTTCTGGTGACAGCCCCGTTCTATAAGGTAACACGGCAGGTTTATGCTGATTTTGCTTCCATGGCCTTTTGCATTTAGGTCAGGTTAAGAGATTTGTTTTCATGGCTAAAACAGCCAATTGGAAAGACCTTTCTAAAAATGGAAAGAAATAGAAGAATGGACTAGGAATGTGAATAGAGTAAACAATTCATGTAATCCTATAGAATGAACCTATAAAATAATGTTCAACCCTGCTGATAATCAATAATGAGATATGAACTGATATTTGTTGTAATAAAAAATAATTAAAGCTGAAAATGAATCTTGGTGGGGTCTTTGTAAAAGTGACGCACTCAGAGATTCCCAGAGTGATGTAAATCAACCCATCCTTTTTGTAAAACAATTAAATAACCAAGCACAGAAAGAACCATAAATATGTTCACAGGCTTTGATCCTTGTTGTCTCTCCCAGAAACTGATACCAAGAAACAATTTAAAAGACTGAAATAAGTTACATATCAAAATGTATTTAATAACAGAAAACAGTGCAAACGCCCTCCACATTCAATAAGGAGCCTATGCTTAGGGAAGTTAGGGTGTGTGAGGCAGCCATGAAAAGCAGGATGGAAGAAGTCTTAACATGCAATGGCAAACACGTACTATGGAGTGGAAGATACAGCTAGGAAAATATCAGGTTGACTTGAAAAGGTGTAATGACTGGAAGAAGAAACAGACAAAAGACAGGAGTCAGATGGTGTGTGGGGATGCCATGTGGGCCTCGATTAATGAAGAAAATGCTAACCGAGGAATTTTTCATATACTTCTACTTTAAATCCTGGTTATAAAGGAGGAACTGCTTCATCTATAATTTATTGGCTAGAAAACTTGGTCAGTATTAAATTAGGATTGTGGTCTACAAACGTTTGGTTCACTTCAGGTCAGCCTAACTTCGTGTTGCCGGTGGTAAAGGGTTTCATAGGGAGGAAGGGCTTCGAGGAGGCAGGTGTGGGTCCCTCTCATGATGCCTCGCTCTGGGACAAGAATCATTTTATGCTAATTTTGGTCAGAACCAGGCCTGGGGGGGTCCAGGTGATGCCCACCCATCTTGGATGGTACTGTTTTCATTTGAGCAGCTTCTTTTGGTCTGAATTGACATATACCAGTTAATTGTGTGAATTGTGGTAAAAACAATCATTTTATTTTGAAGAACACATAATGGAAAGATAGCAATGATGTGAACTAAGAAATAGCTGTTAATGAGTGTCTGAATTGTAATAGCTATTTCTTAGCAAGGAGGCTAGTATCCAGAAATAAGCTTTCAAAACCGATTTCTTACCAAGTAACTTGAAAATGTGTAATTCGGGGCGCCTGGGTGGCTTAGTCGGTTGGGCGTCTGACTTTCGCTTAGGTCATGATCTCGCGGTTCGTGGGTTTGAGCCCCGCGTCGGGCTCTGTGCTGACTGCCAGCTCAGAGCCTGGAGCTTGTTTCAGAGTCTGTGACTCCCTCTCTCTCTGACCCTCCCCTGCTCATGCTGTCTCTCTCTCTCCTAGAAATAAATAAAAAAACATTTAAAAAAAAAAAAAACATTTATAAAAAAAAAAAAAAAAAAAGAAAATGTGTAATTCATCTTATTTTGTAATACTCCTCTTGGTGTGTATGACCAAGCCTTTGAGACCCAGAGTAGAAAAGGACACCGTGAACACAACTAGAAACTTCTAGGGACTAATTGAACAAGGTATGTTGCTGAATCAGTGAAGAGGAATGAAGCCCCTTACTCCTCTACCTCCATCACCTCCCACCCACTGAAGGGCTCTCAGCATCTACTGAATTGGGGGGCAGGGGAGGGCCAACCCACTGGAACTTCTAGGTAATGGAGAGAGTCGCTGACTTCTTGCATGAGGAGAAAGTACAGCAAGTGTCCTGGTGCCATTGCAGAGTGATCGAGCAGTCGTTTTCATCATTGCAATATTGATTAATTTACAAAATTTCTTGGGGCTCCTGAATGGCTCAGGTCATGATCTCGTGGTTTGTGAGTTTGAGCCCCACATCAGACTCTCTGTTGTCAGCACAGACCCTGCTTCAAATCTGTCTCCCCTCTCTCTGTCCCTCCCCAACTTGCGCACTCTCTCTCTCTCAAAAATAAAAAAAAAAAACTTAAAACTTTAAAAATATTAAAAATTAAAAATAAATCTTCTTAAGTGTGTCTGATATCTGTGTGTCAGGCACTATGGTGCATGCAGTGGTAGAATGATGGTGGGGGAAAACATGGTCCCATTCCCTGATTTCATGGACTTCACGCAAGAAGACAAGACACAGAAAATAAGTGATTATTCAGGTACGTAACTTCATATGATCTGTGTGTGATTGTATAATATGACGTGTGTGAGGGACAGAGAAGAAGTTATGAAGATTGGGAGTGTAGTACTCTGAAGGAAAATGCTGGATGCTATGAGTGAGAGGAGCGAGGGGGACCATGACTATTCAGGTGTCATGGATTAGCAGGCAGAAGCCACACTGCAGTGTTCCCATTTATTTTTGACCGAAGACACAAAATGTAACAGCAGCAAGGAGCTGCCACTGTTCTGGGTTTTCCTGGTCCTCTGGTTCTCCTGTGCCGTGTGCAGCTGTCAGTGACTCCCTCTGTGCAACTAAGATCCTTCTAGAAAGGAGCAAAAGAGAACACTTTGCCACATTAGAACCTGTTCTGTGTGGGACTTACATCGCCATCCCTCTTACCTCCAGCCTCTCTGAGCTTCTCTGTGAGGAAATGTTGGCAAGTATGGAACCAATTCAGCATCAGCGAGGCCAGGTCCCTTCAGGGGACGTGGCAAAGCCACAGGTGTTCTTGAGCCGCTTCTTCACCAGGGACACTCTTTCCCTGCAGAGAACTGATTTGATGGGGCCCCAAGAAAGGGCAGCTCTGGAGAGGTGACATATAAATTTAGAACTGAGGAAAGGGAAAGCATCTCAGATCGACAAGTGCTGGGGACTTAACATGCTTGCTCCCTAATGAGAGGAAATGAGCCCAGTGCCGGAAAGGATGACAAGAAACCCAGCCTGGAATGGAGGGCTGAGGAGAGCTGCTTCCTAAATGACATTTCAAGCCTTGTTTGACTGCTACCAGCCACAGAGTAGTGGCTGATGGAAATCATGTTTCTAAGTCACTGGAGTGCAAAGGACTGCTTGGTGTTAAATGCTATTTGTGATGGAAAAGTCTTGTAAAGAAGTCAACACTAGGTGAGAGGATGAGAAAAACCACAAATGTTATAGTTAAATAGCTTGCAGGATTCTCCAGTGTAGATGAAATGCAAAGCATCGGTAATATCTTTACCAGTGCTAATTTCTGTTCAAAAGTGTAGAATTATAAAAACTTAGCTGTGTTAATGTGTACTGATATTGTAGTTTACAGATTTCTTGCAGCACAAAAATCTTTAGTTGTGATAGAAGTAATTATATGTATATATATGAGCAATTTTCTCTTGGAGACATTATTTTCCCTCCCTGCCCCTAAATTTGCTGTTTTCCCCCCATGTTTGGCCCCAGTGAGCTCCATAATTACTTTTACATTTTAAATACATTTCTCTTGCAAGTACTCAGAGTGATTTTTAAAAATGATATTGTGCAACTGATGACTGTTGATGGGTAGCCCTCGGCAATACATTAAAATGATGCCTCTTAGGGTAAACCAATGGTGCACTTATATTCACAATATGGTCCCCCAGATTGGGTGAATGCTTTGGAAGACCAATAAACAAATCAGTAGGTGATGAAAACATGAGGAAATCTAGTAGTTCCAGCTTGTAATTTTTGTACCGTTTTGTTGTAATAAGTTTCAAAGTTTGCACATTCTGCACAATTGATGGACATCTGTTGTACCCACCGTGGGATGTTGAGAGTCCACACATACCTCCACAGTGAAGAATAGGAGAGAGTTCAAGGTCAGCTTTAGAGTCAGAGATGAGCTTGGCTCAGACCCTGAATCCATGAGCATGTTCTTGCCCATCTTAAATGGTGACTCTAATTCTGTGTTGCATTTGAGACACAATGAACCTGATCGATACAAGAGGGGAACGTGTTGCTGGTCCAATCTGCATCCCAGGGGATTTTCTGGTTCTGTTCTTCTGCCTGGAAAAGCTATACCACAGAGCAGCTGGACAGACTTGTGAGTTGGATCCTATTGTTTCATTTAGATGAGAAGAAATTAAAACATAGAGATTAGGTGGGAAGGAAGGAAGCTGAGGGAAGGAAGAGTGGGATTCGGTGGTGGATAAGAAGGACGGTCAGGTTTCTTTTCCTCATACATTGTTATAATGCAATTATTAGCAGTCATTCTGGTGATCAAGACAATGAAGTAGTAAATGAGCCTTTAAAAAAGAGCTCTTTTGGGGCACTTGGGAAGCCCAGTCAGTTGAGCATATGACTATTGATTTCGACTCAGGTCATGGTCTCAGGGTCATGGGATAGAGCCCCTCATCGGGTTCTGCACTGAGCATGGAACCTACTTAGGATTCCGTCTCTGTCTCCCTCTACCCCTCTCACCCCCACTCCTGTTCTCTCTCTTTCTAAGACAAAATGAATAGCTTTTTTATCCCCTGGATTTCAAGTTTTTATTACAAAATGCCTACAGTGTTATGATCTAATATAATTTCAGTGCCTTAAAGGATAGAATC